ACGTCAGTGTCAGTCTGTTGGACAGTCGTCTTGTTGTCATGGTGATGTTGGATTTGCGGTAAACTGGTTTAAAATCGCTGCCATAAAACGACCACGAGACACGAAGGAGCTAAATCCAGCCGATGTCTTCTGAAGAGGATCTGTTTCTGCACCTGATCATCAAACCAGATGTGAATCAGGTTTCAAGTTGTTCGATGTCGGATGTTTCCTCTGTTTCAAGCTTTTATGCTAAAATAAGATCTGAGTTAAAACCGGAAAACAACTTTTATGTTTTACACCCGCTCACTAAGGTTTACTGTGAGTTTCCTCCCTGTAGATTGAGCTGAACAGACCTTTTGTGTTTCTGCGTAAACATTTAGGAGAGGGATGAGGGTTTGACTCTGTCGTCACATTTTACAAACAATTCTGTAGAAGACAAACTGTTTATTCAAATTTACATTTAGTACATTCACCTAAAAGTTTGAGCTTTAAGCTGCAAAAGCTAAATATTAATATCTAAATTTAAAATAGTTCATTTGGTAAAACACAAATCAATCAGGTTCGTTCAAATCAAAGTTAACAAATTGTGTTGTGTATATTTTTTTAATTTACTTTTAAACAATCTTCTTTTTTCAGAATCATCAAAATGTCCAGTTTCTGTGACAGAAAATAAACGAACATATAAAGAATGTTCCGTGCGGTTTCACTCTGAGGTTTTACCTCAACATCTAGTGGTTGTGAGGTTGAATCGGATTCACACTTTCACGTCCACACTGATGCGGAAACTTTTCCCTCAGCGTTTAAGTTTCCTGTCCAATCACAAACGTCGATTTTAACAAACGCCCCCGAAGTGCAGATTTTCAATAACTTCAGTTTTTGTGTGTTCGTGTAAAACGGAACGATTTTAAAACAATGACATCACAGTTCACGTCACACTACGATTGGTTCTCACTAAGTTTGCTAAATTAGCAGCGTCACCACCTCAACCGATATCAATCAGACCGCAGACTTCTTCTCTGGTGTTTGACTGATTGTTTGATGTAGACTTTATCGCCACCTACTGGTCTGACGTCTGGGAGTTTGGCGTTCTCGTCTGGACGGAGATATTCTGTGAAACGAAAGTTGTGTGGACAGAAAGTTGTGTAGACAGAAAGTTGTGTGGACAGTTATCAGTTAAACATGACGTGAGTGTAGACGAGGCCTCAATCGTCAGGTCAAAATCTTAGTTTGTAATTAAACACGTGTAAAACTGCAAATATTCCCATGAGCCTCAGCTCACTTTGGGTTTAGTGTGTGTGAGCCAGAATAAAACTTCCTGTGCTTCCCTGTGTGTGCGTGTGTGTGTGTGT